CTTTGATCCCTTGGACAAGTCCGTCATCGCCTGGTGGACTGAAATCACGGACAAGCTTTACGAACATGTGCCTGACCTGGCGGGTTTCTTAGTCAAGGCCAACTCCGAGGGCCAGCCCGGTCCACTCACGTATGATCGTACGCTCTCCGACGGTGCCAATCTGTTCGCGAAGGCCGTCAAGCCGCACGGCGGTATTGTCATGTTCCGCGCATTCGTCTATGATAATCAGCATCTTGACGAGAAGAATTGGAAAGACGATCGAGCGAACGCGGCCGTTGACTTCTTCCGCGACCTCGACGACAAATTTGACGACAACGTCGTCGTCCAAGTCAAGTATGGACCGATTGATTTCCAGGTGAGGGAGCCCCCGTCACCGCTTTTCGCGCATTTAAAACAGACTGCATCGGCTATCGAGCTTCAAGTTACCCAGGAGTATCTCGGCCAGCAGTGCCACTTGGTTTACCTACCGCCGCTCTGGAAGGAGATCCTTAACTTTGACTTGCGCATCGACGGCGAGAAATCTGTCATCGGCTCTGATATACTTTCCGGCAAGCGCTTTAATAAGAAGGGCCTCACGGGTTACGCGGCTGTCGTAAACGTCGGCCAAAATACCACTTGGCTTGGCACACATCTCGCCATGTCTAACTTGTATGGCTATGGTAGATTAGCCTGGGACCCAACGGTTGATGAAGTAGCCATCTTGGAAGACTGGACGCGGCTGACTTTCGGCTTGGACGATACCGTTCGCGAGACTATTACACGCATGTCGATGGAGTCTTGGCCGGCGTATGAGAATTACACAGGCAATCTAGGAATCCAGACACTTACGGATATCACTGGACCGCATTACGGGCCGAACCCGCAATCGATGGACAACAACCCGTGGGGGCAGTGGACTCGGGCTGACGCATTTAGCATCGGAATGGACCGTACGGTTAAGAACGGTACCGGCTACGCGGGCCAATACCCGACAGAGGTCGCCGCTGTGTTTGAGGATATCGAAACGACACCGGACGACCTCCTGCTATGGTTCCATCACGTCCCTTACACGCACGTGTTAAAGAACGGCAAGACGGTCATCCAACACTTTTATGATGCGCGTATGTGAATCTCCAATAAGACCCGAAGAGATAAACCAATCACTAACCCCATAACAGACTACGCAGGCGCCGAGACAGCCGCAACGTTCCCCGCGCAATGGGCCAAGCTACAAGGCCTCATCGACCAGCAGCGGTTCGATGAGATGGCGTTCCGGCTAACATACCAAGCAGGCCACGCAATCGTCTGGCGCGACGCCATTAACGAGTTCTACCACAACCTATCCGGAATCGCCGACGCGCAAGACCGCGTAGGAAAGCACCCATGGCGCGTCGAAGCCGAATCCATGACTCTGCGCGGGTACCGCATAACAGCCGTGAACCCATTCGAAGTAGCCTCCGGTCTGCGCATCGTCCAAAGCGTCGGAAACTCGAGCTCGGCAAGCGTGTCCGCCACGCTAAACTACACGGCCGGAACGTACGATCTGGCTGTCGCTTACTACGATCTATACGAGGGCAAGGCGTCGTACGAGCTGTTTTTGAACGACAAGAGTATTGGGTCGTGGATCGGCGATAACGAGGACAAGCTTGGGTTTACGCTGACGAGGGGGATTGACGGACACTCGGCGACGAGGATCACGTTTAAGGGCGTCGAAATCAAAGAGGGAGATGTGGTGCGTGTCGATGCTACGGCTAATGGACGCGAGACGGCGCCGCTGGATTATATCGCTGTGCTGCCACCAGGGGTAGTAGATTGATCGGCTTGGCATTTTGCTGTAATTTATTTATTGGCAGCCTCTTATACTTATTGTCGTTAGAACATGTAATGTATGTTAGCTTCTATGTATACCTATATAAGGACTAAGCATGGTATTTTTATATATATAAAAAAAACTTCTTTTTCACCTCGGCTCTTGATTTGATTCATGTAAATGTTGTGGAATAGATAGGAATAGCAAACGCCACCGCATGCCTGCGATGATGCCGTGCAGCGTTGAGCTTCAATCCGGAATCAACAACGGCGGACTCGTAATATTTCAATTGAGGAGAGCTAGCATCGAATAATTATTTCTTGCATGCGGCCCATGTGTCATGAATTGCTAACGCGACCTAGGTCACGCCTCACTCGCCATACTTTTGAGCCGATGCCACGTTTCTGGTTTCCATGTAGCACCTCTACCCACGGCACTGGTATCGTATCTATGGGCCCTGCCAAATTGCTATTTTCAGTCTCGGAGATATCTCCAGTATCGTCACCGGTGTCCATCGTCTCATCCGCATCTGCTCCGTCGTCTACTTCTTCATGAGCCCGATAATATAGGTCTTCGGTATAAGCCCAGCTCGGCGTATCAAACTTCCCGCTAACGAGTACGACTTCCCACCCTCTAGAAGTAATTTCTTCTATTTTCTCCAGTCGTAACGGCGTTAAAAGTTGGAGCACACCATTCTTGACGTCGATGCCACGAACAAGGGCCAAGCCAAGAGAGTGGGAAAATTTAGGGTCAAGAGTAGTTCCGTTCGTCGTGTCGATAAATGGAATGCCTTCAGGTGTCGTAACAATAATATCTCTAGCCAATGTCGAAAACGACGAGGATATTGATTTTTGTGGTCCCTCATCAGCCCTATCTATATCCATCGTATCAGAAGTCGTATCGCTAGGTAATATAGCATGCTCGTCAGGATGTCTAAACGCTTGGACGTTTTCGACTGCTACAACTCCGAGAATGGTGCCATTAACTGCGTCGGCTAATAAATTCACGGGTGTTTGGTAATCATAGCACATGATCCCGAATATCCCCCGCCCAGGACCTTTGTAGCTGACCTGCCAAGGAGGTACAGTTGTCAGTGGCTTGCTATTCCACTGAACCCAATGACCACCGGCACCAGAGCTTTGGGGTTCTGCATGGAAGTACGACATGGTCTGCATTGAACGGAGATGTGCTGCTGTTCTCGAGGCCAGCTGGGAGGCCTGGGAAGGGAGTGTAGAAAAAGTAGTAGTCCTGCATGATTCCTGCAGCGCCTCTACTACTTCGGCTGGACCGGACTCGGACATATATAGCACCTCGGTCGGTCGCGAACTAGTGATGAGGGAGGTAAGAAGGTCAAGCCCTGTCCCTTGGATCCATCCCGGGGTATTTATGATAAGAGGGTAACGCCCTAGAGCATTCCGATAGTGCGTCATGAGATCCATTGCAGCCTCTAGATATAATTCAGGATCGGAGGCTGGAGATATGGATGCTAGCGCATGAGACCGAACAATCTGGAGCTCTGGACAGGGAAGAGGACGACAGAACGAGGGACTAAACACGGGCTCAGTTAGGAATACGAGTGCGACTTGGCCAGCGACGCAGTATTCAGGCTGTCCCGGGTCGAGGTCAAGCACAGCGACCCCCCGGTGGACTCTGCGTTTGGAGTTACTTGACTGATCTGTGATGAGTCGGTTCGCAAGTAACTTGCCAAAAGTGGATTTCCCAGAAGATTTTGGCCCCGTGATCATAAAGGAGCTGGGTTTCGAGCTTGAAATATCGACTAATTTGGCAAGCTCCCTATTCCACTCTGGCGGGGATACTAAATCTTGCAGCATTGTTTTCTTTGGGCCATCCGCTGATGTATATAACTATAGGCATCATCAGCTGCATAGTTTGTTGAAATGCCTCGAGGATCCTTACGATTACAAATGTTGGGTAAGGTGAAGTAGTGCTCTTGCTTGATGATAGATCAGATTCATTCCAGAGCTTCCTGAACTGGGGAGAGAGCCTCCCTAAACCTCTCAGACCGGCAGCCATTGGATGAGGGAGCAGTTCTAGGCTGGCGTCGTTCGAGCATCTAAGGACGGGGAGTGCGTGGCAATGTGGCGCATTCACCCAATGCACCCTGTCTGATATCCTTAGCATCGCGCCATTGAGGGTTATCTCACCAGATTTCACGCGTATGCCATAGCTGCCGAGAATCACTAAGCGCTGCTGTTTGTGAGTTCGGGTTTCTAGAACAATAAGTAGGGGAAACAAACCTCTCCGTCACGTAATTTTAATAGTATCCTCCCATCTTTCCGTTTTTGGTAGTTGCTTTTGGATGGCTTAAAGTTAGAGAGGTGGACTGGCAATGCCTTAGCCGGCTTCACCAATAACTCATCATCGGCTATAGAAGGCGAGGGACTTCTAGATGTGACGTTAGGAGAGTTAGGTATAACAGTATTATCCGTTGAGAGTGTTAAATTTCCTGGTAATGTACCCTTCACGCCGTTACCAGATTCGTTATCAACACTTGGCAGTGGTTGAACATTTGGGGTCTTCCTTGTCTTCTTTGGACTTCGAGTCTTGCTAGTCCCCGAAGTATCTGGTGATGGGGGGACTTTGGGGACAGATATAGTCTCATCAACTGTATCCACATTAGGTGATGTAGGGGAAATTTGTTGGTTAAGAAGTCTTTGGCGAAGAGCAAAGGCGCTCATAGCTAGCGAGATATGAGCATTCATCCACCATCTATAGAAACTATTAATAACAACGATACAGGGTTAAACACACCTGGCGGAGGTTCTGGTATATTTAGCTTCCTCTTCTTATTCATGGCCATTGCGCCTTATAACCATCCAAGCTTGTAAGAAAATATGAGACTTTTCTGAGTTGGTACTAATCATTTGCCAGTTGATATAAGATGAAGATGGGAGTTCGACCAAGTTAATAAAAGTTCCTCTACATAACTCAATTTATCTGTGGGGCTCTATGCAGGTACGTGCATGTACATGTACCTATTGTGCATTATAAATGTACCTAAGTACCTGAGATACCATTACCTAATCCTATAAAATTGCCGTGAAGCGTCGGATCCATAATCTTCCGGCTCTATCAGCTTCATTTATCAAAGTACCGAAGTACATGTTGCCCCACATCACCCCCGGCCCCGCGACTGCCCTGATAAGGAAGCGCGCCGCGTCTAGCATCAAGAGCTCCAAAAAATTTGTACGCTCAGAGCCTCAGCGTGAAAGTTAGTTCATCAATTACATGTAAATACTTCACCTTTTTAATATTCCCAACATCACCACCTCTCCAGTTTGCACTTCTCAGGCAACATTCATCCTAGGATTTTAAACAGCTTCAGCTCAATTAAAGAGCATTTTATTAGTCCACTTCAGGAATATATTTTGAACTTGTATTCCAGTCGCAGTTTGCACCAAAAAATCTACTCTCACAGCTCCTCATCGCCGCCTGGCACACATATTTACAATGTCGAAGCATCGCCCTCGCATCCCGATGGGATCGCTCAGCGACATGGCTTCAACTGTTCGTGACAAGAAAACTGCCTCCAAAATTAATCCTTTGGGATCTACCCAGCTACAAAAGAATCAAAAGCTAGCCAAGGATACCAGTAGCGATGATGACAGCAGCACCAGCAGCTCCGACGACAGCGACGGAAGTGGCAGCGATAGCGAAAGTGATCTCGAGGCTGCCAAGAGCAAGTACGCCGCAAAGCAGGCAACCAAGCGCAAGGTTGCTGACCCAAAAGCGAACGGTACTAAGTCTGAACCTAAGAAGACTATCCCGAACGTAGGCGTACCATCATCTAAAGTTTCTACCAAGGCAGCAGCTTCCACAAGTCCTAATGATTCCGATTCCGATTCCGATTCCGATTCCGATTCCGATTCCGACTCCCAGAGTTCGGATTCTAGCGACAGCCCGGCCAAGAATGGCGCGACGGTAAAGGGAGGAAATAAAGCTGAAGAGAAAGCAGAAAGCACATCGGACAGCGAGAGCGATGACGAAGAGCCCAGTGCACAACGCGCTGTTGAGGCTGAATCTTCTAGCGACGAGGCCAGCGATAGCAGTTCTGATGATGACAGCGAGGAAGCGCATGGTATGGAGATAGATAGTGATGAGGTGGCCATTTCTAGAGTCAATGGCAATGATTTTTCTGAAGTGTGAGTTCTGGAGTCGTAGAAACTATCTTGGCCGATTATAAACTAATACCGTTATTCCAGTTCTCGACCTGGCTGGCTTAATAGCTCAGACTTTGTGATCCGCAAAGCTTCATCAGACAATCCCGCCAAAGAAGTTGCAGATTTTTTCAGCAAAACTAACTTGGAAGGGAAGCAGGTGTGGTATTTCACGGCACCAGCTTCGTTGCCGATTACTGTGCTCAAAGACATGGAGATTGATCTATCCAAAGCAACTCCTGGACAATCATTACTCAATCATAAAGGCGACGATTACGGCCTAGACATTGAGTCGCATGCTACTAGCACGCAGATCCAGTTGCTTATCCCTTCACAGGGAGGGGATAACTATACTTCTCGTAAGTCGCGCCTCCTAGTTCACTAATTTCAAATAATGGTTAACAATTAGAAGTGAATCGGGGAATCGACTCAACCGTGCATCTCCGTCGCGTAGCTAAATTTGGTCCTGGCGGTACTGTCAGTGCTACCGCTACCGAGGATTACGCGCCAATGCCGAAGGCTATTCGAGAGCAGCCACAGGGTCTAAGACCCCGTTTCACCCCTATTGGCGTCCCTAGTTCTATGCCACAGGTTCAGTCCTCGAAATCCCGTCCTGCACCCGCAACGCGGGCAGTTTCTTCATCTGAATCAGACAGTGAGTCGGAGAGTGCATCCGACAAAGACTCGGCGGCATTACCTACCCCGACCAATTCGAAGAAATCCAAGAAACCAGCTGCTGTCAATGGGAACCTGAAGCGGAAGCAACCTGAAGAAGGCAAATCAACTCCAGTTCAAGAGCCTCGGTCTCAAGAAAAGTCTGCAAAGAGACCTAAGACCACTAAATCCGCCCCTTCCAAAGTTTCGAGCTCCAACAAGGAAACGCCTATCTCGACCCAGACACCAAACAACAAGAAGGCGAAGGAGGGGAAATCAAAGTACTCGATACAGCCAACGAAACAGACTCCAGTCCCTGTACCTAAAGTTTTTAGTATGAACCGTTAATTCGGGGAGTACTGGATTTGCGTAGCCTACATTTTTGGGGCTTGGATCGACATTTTTTTCATGCTGGTATACATTCAGCTAATGAGTAGTGTATCTATCGGGCGGGATTTTGCTCGTGGAACTATCGCACACAGGCAGTCTACGTACAAGATAGTCTATTGGAGACGGGGAGCCTGATGAAATGTGGTTTGCCACCAGAATCGGTAGACTCAGGTGCGTTTGCGTATGGATATTCCTACAGAAAATGACATGCGGCGTCGAGAGAACGTGATATTATGGTTGTGTGGTCTTATCACTCCTTTTCTTGAGATACCATAGACGATTTTTCTGATAGTCTTGGTCTTTTTCCTAGCATTCCTTCCTATGGATAGGGCGCGGCTGGGCAGGCCAATACCAAAAGTACTAGGTTACGAAGTTAGCAATGGAAAATTAACAGAATCGATGCATTCTATTGCAGTAATGTAAATTATGACTTGGGCCATTCTCTAGAGTATTCAGTTGCCGGTTCCGAATTGCTACCTAGGTATTTAGGCACATAACCCACCTGTCTATCGATGTCTTTCGTGCGATTACCTATAGCAAAGTTTTAGTATTTATGAGGCTTTAGCCAATAATCCCAAGTATAGCTTCATATTAAACATGAGCATCCCCCATTGTTAGCGACTACAGACCCGACGAAGCCGATCTAAACAACGCTAATCGTGACTTATCCTTGATAATCTCATGCCTGCTCGTACTCGTCTACGTTAAGTATGGTAGCCAAATTTTTATTTACTCTTTACTACACCCGGTTTCCCTGAATCCCAATATAAAATCAAATATCACTTTTCAATGACATAAGGTAACTCATTTGTGTGACATAGGAGGCCGGGTTTACGTGTCTTGGGATGTGAAATCCTAGCGTTTGCTGTTCCTATAACTTGGTAGGCCGTCCTAATAATTTACTTATGGTTAAGCTGCGCCGACATATAAATAAATTAGACAGGCCGTCACATAGTGTTTTTCTCAGGTTCATTAGGCTAGAATTTGGTTTCCCTCTTTATTGAACCGAGCTGTAGGCTGCCAAGTACAGTACCTAGGTAGGCAGGTAACCTTATGAGACTTCAGATCTGCCTTGTTATCAAACCCCATTGCTAACAGCCAATATGCCCATGATCCACGCAAATCAGGTTGTCGTCATTCATTTCTTCTCATTGCATATATCATTTCCGCTATCCATATCCCCCATCATACATGCACCTTAATGCCACCATACCGCCATGCTGCCATGCTGAACGCCAATATCATCAAGACTGCGGACCTATTTGTATTGAGTTAGCTTAATACTAACCGACAATAAAAATCGAGGAGATAAGATTAAAAGGACAAGCTGCATCAGATAGGATAGTTATGCATCAATGAAGATCTCAGCCCCGTCTTGAAACATATTTTTGACATAGGTATCATCATAACAGCTGGAAAGTGCAAAAGTCAAGACAATGGAGTTGTGTAACATACCGAGAATCATAAGTGCAACCAATCAGCAGTTAACCGCACTGCTTAGAGACTCCCAGCCGCTGCTGTTCCATGGAGCGACGAAGATCGCCGTCTGAGCGTCGGCAACCTTACCGGTTCCGGCATATGCATTGGCAAGATCTATAGCACCGAGTTCTCCCTTCGGCGGTATGGCCTTCAGCGCTACGTTCAAGGCCATATCGGCAGGATATTCTTCCCCGCTAACCTCGGCTAATCTCGACCATCCGTGTGGGAGATGCGGGTATAACATAACGTCGTTTTGAAGCTGAGTAATGACATCGTCTTCTGTACTGTTCCCTGATAAGGCGGCTACGGCGCGGAATACTTCTCCAATTTGGGAATGCTCCGTATCAGTAACTTTGTCACTAGTACGGAGTGTTTGAAGCTCCGAGACAACGGCGTCTAAAGACTCCTCATCTTCATCAAGTAATGCTATGATGCCTAGAAGAAGCACCGATTGTACGTGGCTTAAGTCCTTCTCTATCACATCAAATAGAATGGCGCGGGCTCTTTCTCGAGCATCATCCGTACCCGTAGCCCATAGCATCTGAGCCAGGACGCAAACTGCATCCGGATTGCCGTTGGATTCACTTAGTGCCGTTTCAAAGTACGACACGGCTGCATCAATGTTCTTAGAGAAATACTCTGCTAAACCGACCGTCAAGTGTGCTGATAATCTAGCTTTTCTGCGTTGCTCGGCTGTTAGTTCGTTTGCGGACTCATCGCTGCTTAACTGCAAAGCCATTTCCCCGCAGTCAATAGCTTCTGCGTATCGAGCAGCCGAGAGATAATGACGAGCCAGGTCCGTTTTAGCCAGGGCAAACCGCCCGAGTGACTCCGCGGACTCGGTGGCTTCGTAACTCGTCTCCAATTGCTCACATACTTCCTCGAGGGTATCTATCGCTCTAAGGCTGTCGTTCGTTCGCTCTTGGTAAAGTGTCGATAGATGCTGATACGAAAGATCTTGAGGATTGAGACGACGTAATTGAGTGAGTGCAAATAGTGGTTGGATGAGAGACGAAACACTTAAATCCGACGGACTTGCGAGTATGTAGTCGAATAAGGACGTGGGGTATTGGCGTCTGGTTAGTAGTGAAGACGACTCCGAGATATCCATTGCATGGGTGAATAAACTGCGGGCTTCTTTAGCATCACCGTAAAGAAGGGCGACAAAGCCTTGACCTAGCCAGGCGTGGGCGTAATCGGGGTCATTGGACTGTGCTCGCGTAAAGGCTTCATTAGCGAGTTGGATGTCATTCTGAAATAGCGCAAGAGCGCCAAGGTTCGACCACGTATGTGGATTTCTTTCATTGAGGAACAGGCTCCGGACAAATGCATGCTGCGCCACGGATGGATTTATTTCGCTCGTGACAACACCTAGCGAGTTCCAGAATTCCGGATTCCCGGCCTCCAACTCTATGGCACGTTTGAAGCACCGAACAGCAGCTTTCTGGTATCTACTGGACTGAACCCGGAGCTGCGAAGAGAGGCAGAGGTGTGCACGGTTTTCGGCCCAGCCTAAGTTGTAATATGCAACCGCTTGAGCGTGAATATCGTTGGCCGACTCATGAATCGCTCGCTTGTGAGCTAAGATGGTGGAATGCAAACATCGCGTAAGATCTACCCCGAGCTGCTCATCATCTGGGAAGATGCCTTCAGCAAAAATAACTTCTTTGCCCACGTTATCGACATCTTCTAGTATCGCATATGTAGACTTGTCTTCTGCACCAAGGTCAAGCAGTTTCCGAACGTTGTCAGTCGGAAAGTCATGCAGACGACTCTGGACAGAGGCAAAGATGGAGCATGAATCGCCAACCGCCTTCCAGAAATTGAACGTCCTGGTGATCTTTGTAGGCACGGTGAGCGCAAAAGTCAAAGTGTCGGTCGCTAATTCGATTGATTTGCCGAATATGCCTTTTTCCACGCAATCTAAAGCATTCTCGACCATAGCCTGCATCATAGCTATTGCGACACCTTCCTCTTCAGGTCGGGTTGAAATAACCCCATGGTACAAAGCGACGGCTTCATCGAATTCGCCAAGGTCACGCTTGACATTGGCCAGCATGTACTTGGTAAACCAAGTATCGCCGATCTTACTATCATCCATCTGATCTTCTAGCTTCTGCGCAGTCTGAATTGCTTTTGTTGCGGCGATATATCTTCCGGAGCTATGATAACTCTCCCCTAGACCGACCCACGAATAGTAATCTTCGGGAGCTATTCGCAAAGCGTGTTGAAATGAGACGATAGCCTTGGAATAATCTTGCTTGTTCAGCTCTGCGACCCCCAGAGCAGAAAGAGGCCAGCTGATTCCTTTCTTTTTCGATCCAGGAGGTGGTCTGACCCTGCCTGAATTTACTACTCGCTGCGCCACTAACTCAACCCGATCCCAATCCCCGTCGTCGGCAAACGACCGTGCTAACCTCTCGGCAGACTCGACTTCTGCTGAAGAAAGCTCTACGGCTTTGAGAAAGCATTTTCGGGCCCTCTTCTTATCTTTCGCATAATCTTCATAGTAGATTCCGAGACTACCGTATGCCGGCGCATAACTGAAATTGCTCTTTAGCGCGTCTAAGAAGTACGCATACGCGCCGTTGCGGCTCTTCCTAGCAGCTTTTGAGGGGTCGAGATTCCAAATGCAGCAACCTAAACGATATTGCGTTTGGGCTAATAAATCTTTCGAAACTGAAGCACGCGTCATAAGTGGTAGGAGGGATTCGAGCTCTGCCTTGCCACGTGCATAATCGCCCTTTAATGAAAATAGCCAGCCAACCTCTGCACGTACACGGAGATTGGCACTATCGCCCTTGAGCGCACGCTCTAGGAACTCAATTGCTCGGTCGTACTCCTCTTCCTCTTCGTAGATAAGACCAACGCCAATCATAGCAGAAGTTGACGTAGGATCTACCTCAAGTACCTTGTCGAAGAGCAACTTCGCTTCGCCGTGGTTTCTGGGAGACTGATAAAATACTAACGCAGTGCCTAAATAGAGCATGAAAGATTGATTAGCATTCGTAAAGACCTTCCCGGTCTTTTCGGTTTCCGCGTTCATAATTTCCATAGCCTTCCTCATGAGCTCAACGTTGCTTTCGTGTTCTTCCAAGTGCTGATAGTACTCCCCCATCAATCTGTGAGCGAGCAAAGAATTGGTAGTTGAAATCCCTTCTGTCATCATCAAGAGTCTATCTTCATCAGTGTAAGGGACCACCGATGTTGGCGCACCGCCGTCTTCATCGTCTTCGCTTTCATCATCCGCCTCAGACGTAGGTACGGCAGCTGGAGCTTCTGGTTCTTTTTTCGGGAAAGGAGATATGTCGCTCGTCATAAACCCGGTTAATACACGATAGAGGTCAGAATTAGGAAAAAAGGAACAATATTCATTGAGCACGTTGACGTCCCAATCCTTGATCTCTTTATGGTCTTGCCACTCAATTGCGATATCCCATGCGAGTTTGAAAGGATGTTTGATGATAACCATGTCGTTTGCTAGTTTCTGCACTACTTGGAGCTCGCTAGCTTTGTTTGGAGCTGCAGTAACTAGAAGGCGGTCATATCGAAATTGGAGCAGCTTCTCCTCGTATTGACGCCTAACATCATCATCTTGGGTCCAGAGGATGAGCTGCTCGTAGATTTCGCCTAGCTCGCTCTGGCACAGGACTTCACGATTAACCTCGACGGTCACCTCGCTGAGTTTAGCGCCTAATCTCGTACGCCGTTCGCCAATGAGCGTATTGATGCGTTTCTTCTCATCGACCTCTAGGATTTGAGCTATCGTTTCGTAAGTTTTGGCAGGATGAGGAACACGACCCTCGAGAGCGGGATAGATGGGACTATTGGGGAGTATGAGACGAAGGGCCTGGATGTATTGAGTCCGATCGCCACGAGTACGGGCAAAGTCGATGAACTTGTCAACAACATCTTGACATTTGTACATCTCATTAGCATCCCTAAAGATCTCAGCAAGCTTAAGAGCGGCCTGCTGGTACTTTTGGATAGCTTTAGGACCTTGCTTCTCGTAAACCTTGACTAAGCCTTGCCATGCTTGAGCATCGGATCGAATGCCAATAGCTGTTTTGTACGCATCTTCGGCTAGTTCTGGCTGGTTCTTCTTATCTAAGGCGAACGCCTTGAATACGTAACTAGTATGAGTGTTAGATTCTTCAACAATAGAGGGCTCTTGACAGAATGAGCTACATACGCCTGGTAGGAATTCGCATCTCTACTAATGACACTTTCGGCCTGTGACAAGGCATCGTCCCATTTTTGTTGACGAATAGCATCGTTGATAGCCTTCAATGAGGCCTTGATGCTCGCCATCTTAGAGAAGTTGTACTAGGGATACTGAATTTCATATCTTGGTACCTAATGGTTGGGGGGGATAGGAAATTTACGAAAGTGCCTTCTGGTATTTCATCATTGATTTAAGTACCTTTTTTTTCAGTTTGGTATTGGCCCAAGGTTGTTTTACAAAGAGTGCGTTCGGGCACACATAGCAACCGGCAAGTGGATCTCGGCGAAACTTCGGGTTAGCTAAAATACTGGGACCTGCAGGTAAAACATCGGCTCCCCAGGTAGTGCAGGTTGGTAGCGTCGTCACATTGCTTATTTGTCCTATGTCTGACGCGTGTGGATGCTACTTCTTATGCATACTTCTACATACATACAACTATCACCTATCCAACCAACTAGATCTTCATACATTGGATCAGCTGCGTTTTGCTGTCCGAAACTACGTACAGAACCACTAAAATAAATGTATGTTTAGTCGATTGGCATCAAATGTTTGTTGCATTATAAAACCTATTATTTTTCCCTCCTGGTGATGTTCTCTCCTCCCTAACCCAAAAACTTAATCTTGGTATAATCTTTACATCTTCCTTATCGGAATCCATAAGGTTATGAGAGCTGGTACCTAGCGTTTAGCTTCTTATGCTGTTGTCCCCGAGCGTTCCGATTCTTTTTTTTTTCTTTTGTGCAACGTTTGCATCGACGTCATTGGCATTTGTTAGGTCTCTTCTATCCCTAAAATCGTTGTCTTGATTAATCTCTGGACATCCATTCTTGCCTGGCCCAGCAATAACTAGTCCAACCCTTGCCTTCTTTTTCCTTCATGGCTTCTTCTCTACGCCTAATTATTGAAGATGGCCATTTTCAAGATGCGCATGGGAGACATGTCTTGTTAAGAGGCATCAATGTCGCAGGTGACGCCAAGCTACCCAGCCAACCCGACGTACCCTCGCATATCGCCCAAGACTTTTTTGACGGCGACAATGTGAAATTCCACAGCCGACCATTTCGGAAAGAAGACGCACATATACACTTTTCTCGCTTAAAGCGTTTTGGATATAACACTATTCGCTATGTATTTACATGGGAGGCTATCGAGGCAGCCGGCCCTGGGAGGTATGACGAGGTCTGGATTCAACACACGATCGATGTCCTACGGGCCGCTAAAGACTACGGCTTTTATATATTCATGGACCCTCACCAGGATGTGGTATGTTTTTATTAAAAAATCCCTGCGGGGTTCGTATGCCTACGTACTGACTGTCGAAATTGATTAGTGGTCGAGGTACTGTGGCGGATCCGGTGCTCCTATGTGGACGGTTTATGCCTGCGGACTGAATCCCCAGAGTTTTGCTGCTACTGAGGCTGCGATAGTTCATAATACGTATCCCGAGCCCGAGAAGTTTCCTAAGATGATCTGGTCAACCAACTACGTTCGACTTGCGGCCGCAACGATATTTACGCTTTTTTTCGCCGGTCGAGATTTCGCTCCTAAATGCATAATCGACGGCATAAATATTCAAGATTATCTACAAGGTCACTTCATACGTGCTTGTGAACATCTCGCGAAGCGTATACACGAAGCTGGGGATATCGAGAATGATATTATCTTTGGATGGGAAAGTCTAAATGAGCCAAATAGGGGCATGATTGGACATGTTGACTTGAGTGTTATTCCGAGCGAGCAGAACCTGAAAAAAGGGACATCTCCAACGCTTTGGCAGGCTATCCTGACGGGTTCTGGGCGGGCATGCGAAGTAGATACGTGGGATATGGGAGGTTTAGGCCCATACAAAGTTGGGCGTGCTCTGATTGATCCTCATGGCGAGACGGCTTGGTTGCCAGCAGATTATGATGAAACCCGATACGGTTGGAAGCGGGACCCTGGTTGGAGACTAGGAGAATGCCTTTGGGCCCAGCACGGAGTGTGGGATCCCTCTCAAGACTTACTCTTGCAAAAGAATTACTTTGAGAAGAACCCAACCAACGGCGATAAGCTTGACTACCCTACTTTTACCAACACGTATTTCATGGAGTTTTATCGGAAATACCGAGATGCTATCCGAGGAATCCATAAGGACGCGATCATGCTATGTCAACCTCCGACCTTGGAGTTACCACCAAATATCAAGGGTACGGCAGATGATGACCCGAGAATGGTTTATGCACCGCACTACTACGATGGTATCACTCTCATGACTAAGAAGTGGAATCGGACGTGGAATGTTGATGTCATGGGCATCCTCCGCGGTCGTTACTGGCATCCAGCTTTTGCCATCAAGGTTGGCGAGACGGCGATTCGGAATTGCTTCAAAGATCAATTAGCGTCCATCAGGAAAGAAGGCCTGGACTACATGGGCAACCATCCATGCATTCTTACCGAGTTTGGTATTCCGTACGACATGGATGATAAACACGCATACAAAACCGGAGATTATTCAAGTCAATCTGCGGCTATGGATGCGAACCACTTTGCTGTAGAGGGTGCAGCCATGGAAGGGTACACATTGTGGCTGTACTCGACTACGGTAAGATTTCAAATATATATACTTTTACTTTCTCTTTGTTACTAACCAATTGCTTAGAACGACCACCAGCTGGGAGACCAATGGAACGGAGAAGATTTATCCATCTTTTCTGTTGATGACCAGACTTTACCAGTTTCTTCAGTGCCGCGGACACCTGACCTTAACCAATCGACATCCAGTCTCTTGAAAACGGCTACTACTAACAGCAGGAAAGAAGTAGATGATGAGACCTCGGTCACGCCTGGCAACTTGAAGCGTACCTTAACAAATCCTTCAATATCATCATCTAGACCGCCTAGTTCGAATCCCGAATTGACTAACGCACCTGGTTACCGTGCCGCGGAAGCGTATGTCCGACCTGCGCCAATAGCCACAAACGGCCCTATAGCAAACTACGGTTTCGATTTGAAGAATTGTGAGTTCACATTGAATATCGATGGAACAAATGCGCCTCCAGATTTTCCTACGACAGTGTTCCTCCCGGAGTATCATTTCCCTAAGGAGCAATGTACGGTGGTGGTCAGCTCAGGTAAATGGGAGATCAGCACGGATGATGATGAACAATCCTGGATCCAAAAGCTCCGGTGGTGGCACGGCGATGGCAAGCAGAGTCTTAAAGTGACGGGTTTGATACGACCTCACAACACTCTAACTGGCACCTCTGAGGAGGCTGGATACCTGGAGCAGTGCCAACAATCTTACGGCTTCGACGTCAAATCTTGCAGCGTAATGTAATTGACATTGGCGGTTTTCTAGATATCTACCTACCTATGTCATAAAGATTTGTCCGGTTGATGTCAACTGCCTCGGGTAAGTTGTCCAGGCTGGGAATGGTGGTAAGAGTGTTGAGTATGGGTTGCACGACGTATAATGACAGGTACATAAGATGAGTAATATTGATCGCGATGCATTTGACTGCATGTCTCTGCAATTCTGATAATTCTGCAAGGCACAGCAGGCACCTCATTCATTAACCCAATTAACCCAAGGTTGGGTATTAAAATAGCCCCCAACGACAGGCTCTAGGCATGGGCCTACATGTGTGTTATTGGGGGCCAAAAGATATCAGAAATGTGACATTGATAAGTAGTACCCAATTCGCGGTCATAGTTTAGTAAAGGAGGAATCACGAGCCTCATGCAAGGAAGACTGCTTCGAAATTCTACCATACCTTCCAGCTGAGATATGTCATTAAGGCTGACCACGTCTACGAGTTAATTACGTTTCGGGGTCACTTTTCAGGAATACTGATAGAAAAGGCTTTGACACAAATACATAGTATAAGTCGTTAACCTAGAGAATTTTGATGGTTACTCCAAGTATAGGTATAATTAATAATTCAAATGTACGTACATCTGTCCGCGCAAGCCACCTCAACTCTCGGGATACAAACATTTTCCATAGGTACTTACGTACATATGGCGTACTACAGCCTATCATCACATCGGGCTAAAGATGCGCTGCGGGTGCTTGGATTGGAGAGTGGGTATACAGATGCAATGCACCCAGCGCATTAAGCAAATGGGATGATGCGCATTGCACCTCGCGTGATGGTTGCCGACCTTCCACGGCTACACAGTCCCGAAATTGCTTCTCGTAAACCTTCTCCTTACTTTTGAGGGGGTAAATGTGATGATGTAACGTCTTCATATACACTATTCGCACCGTGTTAGTCTGCAGTGGAGGAGTTGAGAGTAGTGTACGGAATAGAGGTATTCCGTACTTTTTCATATATAATTCCTATTCTCCTCCACACCAACGAGCCCCTCTAAAGGGGTATAAACAAAATGGAGATATAAGAAAAGAGGTTAGAGATGTTTTTATTAATCTGTTGACCGCATATAGACAGATTTTCAACGCGCGGAGCATTAGAAGACAGAACCTTGCAATGCCAAGAAGTTGATGCAAGTTGGTCAAAAGTTGTTAATTAAGAAGCCGATTGCCATTGAGCTTTTATTTAATTCATTTTCTTAATTCTAACGTTGCTTTTCTTTCGTATAGTTATCTTACTTTATAACTTGCGACGAATGCTGCGAACCATCTTATTAGATCGCTGCGAAATGAATGCTAAGACTATTTGATCTTGTTTTAACGTTAAAAGTTATCGTCGCAAAGTGAAGAATTGGACTGATATGGACTAACGTTTCATCGGGATATGTTCTATGCAGCTAAGGTAGCGGATACGTATTGAAAGTGGAACTAAACCCGAATAGTCGCACACTATTCCCCACCATCATCACCTGTAAGCGCGTAGCCGCCGACTTTTACACCCTCCTGTACGAGGGTACGACGTGGAGTCCTGTGGAGGCAACTAACGGCCCAGACTGGACTTCCCATGCTTTCCATGTAGGTTTCTACGCTACTGCGCTAGTGTACTGCATACATAGAAAAAATACCCCCAAAGTAAAACAGCCCTGACACCAAACAAACCTAACCTTCGTTTCTAACGCTAAGACTAACGGCAACGACAGTTACGACGACAACTTACTTTAGCGTCGGTACATCGAATTTCAGCGACGAAGACAATACCATACATAATATCGAATCTCATTAGTCAAAGTTGCAATTTCAATTCGGTACCATGAGAACTGGATTCCGAGGCTAGCCATAATGCTGGCTACCATTGATATCCCTATCTTACCTAGGTAGATCGTGACTGGGGTTATTTGCAGAATTCTTTTGGTCTAACGGTTCACCTACCAGCTCTTTTGCCTAGAGGAGTTCGTGAATGTGTTAGCTTATTGATTAGGATATCTCTCGGTCGATTATCCTCTCGAAGACGAGTCCTATTTTGACTGCGAACGTGATCACGGGCCCTGCCTCGACTCGTACCTATCTCGACGATCTGATCTTATAACCCCCCCATTGTCACATCAGTCTCCTGCTTGTCTCGGCGTTATCTCTTAACCGCATTTCCTTTGATCTTCCATTATCTAGTATATCTATCAAGACCTACGATCGTTGCCGCACATACGCCCCCCGATACGAACTTTGCCGCTTTGTTGCGGCCATACTCCTAATTAAGGCGACTTACGCCTTTCTGTTCCGTTTCGCATACTCGTCATGTATCAGAACACCCAGCAGAACCAGGCGCGGCCGTTCCAGGTCCCGCCGCCGCCGCCTATGTCACCTCCTTCCGCTGGTCAACCTGGACAACTGAACACTATGCTAAATATTCCTCCTCCGCCGCCCAGGTACCCCGGCGCGCCGACGACCACCGGCGGTGTGGTGCTACCACCACCTCCTGGTCCGCCACCGAACAGCGCTCTAGGGCCTCAACCACCGTGGCAAGCTAGCTGGGGACGTACTTATAGCGGACAACCTAGCTTCACGATTCCGCCTCCCCCCGCGGGTGGTCCCGTGCCGTCGTATAACCCGAAACTCCATTCCCAGGCCTCAAATGGTGCCTTATCGATACCCCCTCCCCCGCCAGTTGAACTTATGTCGAACGCTTATAGACCCGGAAATGACACCAACGAAGCGATGGTATCTGCAACATATATTCCAGGTGGGGATACATACGGAGAGGGTGTTGGCATACCTGGCTTCTTCCCTGAAGACATGGGAACGCAATCGACGACCACCCAAACCTCGTGGCCCACAACCAGCCAGACAAGCAGCACGAATACCATGAGTACTACATTAACTGACGACGGCAATCGTGGATTGCTATACGCCAATGCGTTCCATAACCGGATGCTGTCGACTACTTCAAACGCGACAACCAGTCATTCCGAACTCCCCCCTGAGCTAGCAGCTAAGTGGCCACTAGACCATGTACTGCTATGGCTAGCTGCGAATCACTTCTCGAAAGAATGGCAGGAGACGTTCAAAAATCTTAATATACACGGGGCGCAATTCCTTGAGCTTGGTAGTCAGAAAGGCGGCCGAGGGAATTTCGGAATGATGCACCAACTTGTGTATCCGCGATTAGCACAAGAGTGTGTCAATAATAACACGGCTTGGGACCAACCACGAGAAAGGGAAGAAGGGAAACGGATGCGCCGTCTTATACGAAGCATAGTTACTGGGAAACCAGTCGACAGTGCGAAATCTTTACCGTCTCATGCCAGTAAAGAATCCCTTACCGGCACTTACACGCAAGGTGCCGGTACAGACGCAGATTCTCCAAACACACCTATCAGATTAGGGTCCAGTACTAGAGGGTTTTCGCAGACGCGAGCTACGACTATGCCAACCCTTAACCAAACGATGAGTTCGGATTCTAATCATCGTTCTATATTAAAGAATATTGATATCGAGAGCAGTCGAAAGCTAAGTCCCAATTTGAGTGAGCACGGAGATGGAAACTATCGGGCACCACTACGGAGCGACAGCCCCGGATCGAGTCCCAAATTATCAAGTTCATTTTCACAGCAACCCTCGTCAGGTAATCTATCGCCATCGACCAGATTTCATCACAAATCCCGAAACAGTACCGACTCGCTTTCCTCGAATGCAGCGAGATACGGCTCTGGAGTGTCTCCCGAGGTCGGTCAGATGTGGCGAAATGGTATGAGTGGAATCGAGGACATGATTCACTCCAGTCGCAATGATCGACGTCACAATACTGATGGGAAGCATGCGGAGTCCGGTGATAGGCCTGCTTCGGCAGAGCCAACTTCCGCGAAGGATAACAAAAGCTTTTTGGGCTTTTTGAAACGAAGAAACAAGCAAAAAGAAGACGGCTCGTTCCCTTCCCCAGACGATGCAGATTCGCCTACGAGTCCCCATCTGCTAAGGTCTCGGTTTGGCACTCCTCCGCCGGAAGCAGTCCAAGATTCCGCCCCGACGTTCAGGCGCAGTAAAAATGGCCCCCGAGTATTTGTGCTTGTAACGCTAGATGGGTGGAATTACCGACTATGCGACGTTACTGATTGTGATACTGCGGCCGATTTGCGTGCTAGTGTCTGTATGAGTCTTGGGCTTTCGGATCCGAAGGGGTTCGAAATCTTTCTAACAGAGCTAGGACGAGAAACACATGACGAAGCACTAGAAGATCAGAGCCTATGGATTCATAAGCGCAACAAGGGCGATGCGAACGGTTCCCTAAAATTCTTCGTCAAATTGAACAAATCTGGGGAAGGCAGCCGCAATATTCCTACGGTGGTTCCATCGGGAGGTCAACTAACACCCGGTTCTAACATAAACGAAGACGCTTACGCTCACCTCAATGGCCGTACAAGATCTAGTTCATCGCCCCCCTCCTCGAGAACGAATACTATTTCCACTGGTTCAAAACCAAATGATCCAGAATTGGCGGTCAAAGCTAGCGAATATCGTGCTGAAGTCGAAAAACAGCAGGCTGCATATCTTGCTAAACGAAGGCAAGTCCTAAAGGAATCATCCCCACTAGAGAACTCTCCCCAAACAGGAATCGTCGGTAGGAATGTAGACTTTGACCACCCGCGTGTCTCTCCGTTTGAGGAGAAAAAGCCAGACCTCTTCCCACAGAGAAAGGCGCCGGCGCCTCCAGGTGTAGAGACTGCCACACTAATCAAGGCAAATTCTTTGAGTAGGAAAACCGGTCATAATATGCGACTGTCACAAGGCAGTCTAGATGGATTCCCTAGTCCCAGGCGGCCTACTACTGCAAAGAGCGAAGCGAGCCCGGAACAGTGCCAGAGACCGTCGACAGGACTCACGTCCCCAGGGCCCCCCTCTCCGCCGGCAGGATCGGCCCTCGGTGCCTTGATTAATATGGGAAGTGCTTGGGGCCGACTGGCTCGGCCGTCAACAATACCGCTACAACAGCGCCCGGTATCGCCCCCCCGGAATACTTCTGCACCCGCAGCTAGTACGGACTCGGTAGAACAAAGAGGTAAGGGAGCAATGGCAAGCGTTGATTTTGGCGTTACTGCATCAGGTCGCAGTAGTTCTCGGTCGAGGTCTGGTTCGCCCGGCTCCCTAACATGGAGCCGTGGTGATATACCATTCGTCGTCCCAGACTACTCGCCTGGTGGCACCCCAATCCTTGGCAACCGGGGCAAATCTCAGCTTGATCCGATTACTAAAATGCGTGACATAGCACAACGAGTCCCGTCCCCCGGCGACCTAAGTCCGAGCCATCCCGCTCCAGGAGCCACCGCCGGGCCAGGAAATCCCACAACCAACCGGCCCAAATCCTACGGACCCAATGTGGACTTTACCGAGACGGACGTACAGTTTTCAGCTCCATTAGTGTCTACCAAACCGCCGGATGATGATTCGGGTGACGATGATTCCGATGATGGCCTATTTGCTATTCCGATGAGAGGAAGGCAACCCTCGAAGAAGGCAGTGCGCAAGCAACCGAGCCGTAATGAGACGAGCGTACTTGACAGCGATTCGGAGTCCAGCGATAGCAAAAAGCCAAACTTGAGGGTTAAGACTTCGAGGTCTAAGAAGACTCTTTCGGTATCGTTTAATTCACCGGGTACTTCTAACACGCCCGATTTAGAAGATGACGAGGGGAGTATCCGAAGCGGACGAGACTCTCATCGCCGTACACCTGCTACGCCTGGTTCGGAACAATGGCAGTCTGATGATAGTAAGCTTAACCGCCGGAAATCATTTGTTGACCGTGGCGTATGGGCCAATCGTCCACCTCCCGAGGCTTTGCTTAGCAATCTTGATGCTTTCTTCCCCGAACTCGATCTTGATCAGCCTGTACTCGATGAGAATGAGCTTCCTGTGTCGCCTATACCCGAACACGAGGAATTTCCCGGCGGGATCAGCAAAGCAGGTCCATCCACATTGGATGTCGATCCTCTAGCGCCTGCTGCTGGAACCGGTACTGCAAAATCTTCGGTGTACAACGAGAGCGATACTTTAGGTTCAGACGAGTCTACTTTAAAAGCACTTGAGCGCCCTCCTTCGATTGCCTCGGTCGCAACACGGAATGTACAGCGTTCTAGCGGACTTGGCCGGATGAAATCCATTCGAGAGGTAGCACGAGGTGCGCACGAAGCGAACAAGCGTTATACTACCTCCTCGGCCGGTGCCGGTGCTGGAGCATCGTCGATGATCCAACGGCGGAAAAGCACGAAGATGTTTGGCGCTAACGTCGTGCAAATACGTCCTGAACGTGGCTCGATGATTGTGCCACAGATTCCCCAGGACGTCTTACCGAAGCGGCAGACTACTTTCCGGTGGTTCAAGGGTGAGCTTATCGGTAAAGGAACGTACGGACGTGTATATCTCGGCATGAACGCAACGACAGGTGAATTCTTAGCCGTCAAAGAGGTTGAAGTCAACCCGAAAGCAGCGGCCGGTGATAAGAACAAAATGAAGGAGCTACTAAAAGCCCTAGACCAGGAAATAGATACGATGCAGAACTTGGACCACGTGAATATTGTACAGTATCTTGGCTGCGAGAGGAAAGAAACGAGCATCAGCATCTTTCTGGAGTATATTTCTGGTGGTAGCATTGGGTCTTGTCTGCGCAAGCACGGGAAGTTCGAGGAACCGGTGGTGAGCTCATTAACGCGGCAGGCACTTTCAGGTCTGGCCTATCTACACCGAGAAGGTATCTTACATCGGGACTTGAAAGCCGATAACATTCTGCTAGATGTGGATGGGACATGCAAAATTTCCGATTTCGGAATAAGCAAGAAGACAGACAATATTTATGGTAACGACAAAACTAATTCGATGCAAGGGTCGGTATTCTGGATGGCTCCCGAAGTGATCCGATCCCAAGGTGAAGGTTACAGCGCGAAGGTTGATATTTGGAGCTTGGGATGTGTGGTCTTGGAGATGTTCGCTGGCAGAAGGCCCTGGAGCAAGGAGGAGGCTGTCGGCGCGATCTACAAAATCGCAAATGGCGAGATACCACCGATTGCAGACGACGTGCGCGAGGCGATCAGTCCCTATGCCCTAGGATTTATGCTGGACTGTTTTACAGTGTATGTACTTCCCATCTACAAACGCCCCCAACAGTTAACTAACAAGCACACAGTGATCCCAGGGACCGCCCCACTGCCGAACGTCTGCTAAGACAACACGAATTTTGTGAGCTCGACGCGGACTATAACTTCTTCGATACCGAACTTTACGCCAAGATCAGGGGCACTTTTCAGTAGATGTGCAACTCAGAAGGGATGTTAGTGATGTTGGAGACTATGAAGGACTGTTCTAGATCATGAATTGTTTGGACCACCTAGGTAATGATTGTGTGACGATTTCTTGAGCCGCCTTAGCGAGCACTTGAATATACTGGTCTGAACACAACGAACCAGTATCCAGTATACGTCTACGCAGCGGCAAATATGAATGGATAGGATCCCGTTCTGGTACGTGATATAGATATATGGGAGGCTCTCGTATAGGCATTTATACTTTTTTCGACCTTGCTCACTCCTTCGCAAATCCAGCGCGGCGTTTGAGAGAAGCAAGATTTAGGGCAGCTAAGCACAATTGAATGTTCTATAAGGGCTAGGTCTAGAAGTTAGCGCTGCGTGCATACTCAAGTGTATATGTACCTACCTACCTATGTACGTAGCTAACTATTGATATGAATAATTTCATAATAAGAGGTACCTAAGTGGTTTAGCATATGGCAAATTTGACGTTAAGGTCACTTAGTATGAGGCTTGAGGCCAGTAAGAATATCTATCATTTCCTACTCCTTCTTTTGCCTAGGAGTAAATTATACGACGAGAAGGTAGGCAACGCTAATAAGTAACTACCTGTTAACAAGTCACAACTTGATGACGTTGATTTAACGTTAAATTAATTACATAGCTGCCAGGATGGGGCTTGGACTCAGAGTTGTGTGAATACCTGTACTTCCTCATCTAGCAAATCTATATCCGTTTTTATAGTGCTACAGCAAACAAATCTATGCTGTAGTAACTGTTGGTTCGTCGTTAGAACTTCTTTGTCTTGCCTGAAACCACTAGGGATCCTGGGTAACCAACCCTTCGGATCCAAAAGGTAGGTACCTAAGGTAAATATGTTCAGGTCCGTAGTGTGTAACTTGGATCCCCCCCTTTAACAATAGGTTTTAATCTGGGTTGCTTCAAGCCTTTCCACCCCAAACTCCCAAGCTCAGCTAGTTGACATATGGTCCATTCCAATACAATACACGTAAATGATGCCTCCTGAAAACCACGCCGCGTATCTCGTGAACCCACGCGCCAGACCGCTCCAAGTTAAATCTGCGCCGTACACGGCCCCCGGGCCCGACGAAATTGTTGTTAAAAACGGTGCTATTGCCGTCAATCCAGTAGATTACGGGAAGCAGTGCGGTGGTGACTACCTGTTCGCCTGGCTTAAATACTCCATAGTACTCGGAAGCGATGTAGCTGGCGAAGTGGTGGAGGTTGGAACAAGGGGCAAGGCAGCCCAGCTGTTTAAACTCGGCGACCGAGTCGTAGGCCATTGCTGTCGGCGTCGACAAACGATCATCCAAGCCATCAGAAGGCGCATTCCAAGAATACACCGTACTACGGAGCCATTTAGCTGCAAAGATTCCGGACAATCTATCATACGAGAAGGCCTGTGTCTTACCCATGGGCATTTCCACTGCCTCCTGTGGCCTCTTCATGAAGGATTATGCCGCGCTGAGATACCCTACATCACCGTATGAACACCCCAGCGACCAGGCGCCGCCAGCTGCATTCATCGTATGGGGTGGCTCGACCAGCGTCGGCACCAACGCCATCCAGCTTGCAAAGGCCGCTGGATACGAGGTCCTTACGACAGCGTCACCTAGAACCTTTGGGTATGTGAATGAGTTAGGAGCATCACAGGTCTTCGACTACAATGACCCAAACACTCCTAGTGCTATGATAGCTGCGCTAAAGAATAAGACTTGTGCGGGTGCCATCGCTATCGGTAAGGGGTCACTTGAAGCCTGCATCGATATCGTGGCCGCGGTCCCCGGTCGCAAGTTCGTTGCGCAGGCAAGCGTGCCTCTCGATGCGGCGAAGGTGCCGGGGAATATCGTGGGCCTGGTTGGTGTCGTGATGGGTTATATATGGTGGAACATCTCCAGGACTTTCCGCGCAAAGATAAAGGGCGTGTCGGTCAAGTTTATCTGGGGCACCGACCTCATGGCAAATGAAGTCGGCGGGATGATCTACAATGATTTTCTGCCTGCGGCGCTTGCCAGTGGGCAATACAAGGCGAAGCCGGAGCCGCAGGTTGTAGGAAAGGGCCTGGAACGTATTCAAGATGCGTTGGATGTAAATATGAGAGGTGTTTCGGCCGCGAAAGTTGTAGTTACTATGTGAGGGCGGATTGTGATATTGGACTTGCGATATATTGTGAGGTACCTAACCTAATATTCGTGGGTTAGTGTGGATTGGCTGACGACCAACAAACAAAACGAAGCTATTCACAGGTAATTTTATTGATGTAACCCCTGAATTTAACGAGTACCAGATACCATGTGTGAATTAACATTCAATGCACTGTATTACTTTGGCTATAGTGGCTGGTCTTGCTATAGATATAGTAACGAGCCACCTAGATTTAGCGTCCGCACCAATATCCAGAAGGTGGCTGATACAGTGTCAACAAATAAATATGACGTTCCAGCACGGTGCTAGGAATCCAGAGATGTGCAATATTTTTTTGGATTAAGTCCTTCATTATAATTACTTCATAATAATTAATAAACATTAACTTATCACTCAGCACACTAACGTCTTACAATGTACTTCAAGATAACCGGATGTCCGAATACCTGAATCACTCCTTCGATATCTCGGCTTCCTTGTCCCGTTTGGCCTTCTCTCTGATATTATCCCAACCCAAGAACCAGCCAGCAACAAACGTGGGTACGGCAATGCCAGCAGCGAAGTACCAGATTCGTCGCAAGGCATGTGAGTAAGCCCATAAGACACCGGGTAACTGTTCTTGGCCTACAGCCTGAGCCAATGCTGCCGCTGTTGTACCTGCGCTAATAACAACCTGGGGATCAACACCGGGTGCGTCCTGCGGGATAATGTCGATTAAGCTGTTAGTGAGAATAGTCTGCGAGATGACGGTCATAACGGCTGCACTTAGGTTCTGTAGAAATACAAGCGTAGACATGGATGCTGGGATCAGGTGTCTCGGAAGGTGATTTTGCACAGCAAGAAAGGGCTGGAGTCGTGTAAATATATCAGTCTCCTGGCTTTCCTAGGAATTGAACAAATTGTGAACATACTATTGACATAGCAAGACCGCGACCAATACCAAATATAATCTGGTATCCAATCCATATTCCCGTAGACGTGTGAGGTGAGAGAAGACTCAAAAGACCGCACCCGGTAGCGTTAAGAATAGCACCTAGGATGACGAATGGGGAGTAGTATCCAACCCTCTGAACTATATTCCAGTTAATACTCGATTCATTATCGGCTTGAATATTTGCTTACCCAAGCCCCCTGTTATTATTCCAAAGATCATCTGTGACAGAATATTAGGGAGAACATCCACGCCGCTTATAAAGGGTGTAGCGGCGCGAACGGTCTGGAAGTAAATAGGCAGGTAGTAGGCCGTAATAAACATCGAGCCGCTCAAGAACATACCGGACACGCAGCTAGCCCACATGACACGCTTTCTGATCATCGAGAGCGGGACCATGGCGTTGGCACCCTGATACCAGTCCCAGATCAATCACACGATGAAATTAGCGCCTGAGCCACAGAAAAGGCCAATGACCTGTGAGCTATTCCATCGGTACTGATTCCCGCCGTATTGTAGCGCGAGGAAGAACATGATGGCGGATGGGGCGAAAAGCACGAACCCTAGCAAGTCGAAGTCTACCATTGCGTTTTTGAAGACGTCCCGCATCTTTGGTTTCGCAATATGGTCTGGAATCTGAATAAAGGCGATTATAAGGGCTACAGCGCCGCCAATTGGGAGGTTAAGATAGAAGCCTGGACGTATTAATATAAAAAAGATGATAGGTATATTAGTATGAGGATAACTTACACCATCTCCAGGTCACGTATTCTGTAAAAGCACCTCCGATGAGCGGACCAAATGCGATACCCAACTGGCCGACTAGGGACGTTTAATTAGTTTACGCCGCGAGTTAGAATCGAATACAACCTACTACCCATCAAAGACCCGACCAGGGCTTTACGAGTTGTTAACCGATATCTCTAAATGATGAACTAGGGGTTATGCAAATTACCTGGTTGGCGATGAGGCGGGATGCAAGAGTTCATAATGATAAGTGTTCCGTTGAGCAGACCCGACCCGCCCACTCCAGCAATTGCCCTCCCTCCGATGAGCATGGCCGAGGACGAAGCGGCACCGCATACGGCGGAGCCGGCCTCGAAGAGGATGAGGTAAATGATAAAAGACCACTTCAGGAACAATAGGCATCAGTTAGGAGCCTTCTAAGCGGTTCATCCGTCCGGTAGGTAGGTAGTAGACTTACCTTGGAGTTGAACTTGGAGTAGATCTTTCCACCAAATGGCTGTAGCGCCGAACAGGATAACTGGTATGCGCTACCGTACCATCCGACGTCGAGTAAAGAGTGGAACTCGTCGGTGATATAGGGAATAGCCTATGGAGGTTGGTCAATACGGGCGGTTGGTAGGTATAGGAATTGGAGAATGAAGTATTGCATACGGTTGCTAGAATGGTATTGTCTAACATGATGAGGAAGTAAACCATTGTGGTTGATAGCATTACCAAGTACAACTTAGGACCCTGGACATATTCATCATGAGAACTTTCTTTTGTCTCTTCCTCTGGTTGTATGTTTCCTGTGGTTGATTCGTGTTTTAGGGGTTCTGAGTCAGTGGAAGTTTGTTTTTCGATCTTCTCATTTGAGAATGGCTTCTCCTGTGATGCTCCACTGGGAGCTTTTTCTTCCTTGGGTACTTCATTTAGTAAATAATCCTTATTTGAAAACTCTTCATGCTTCTGAGGTGCTTCATCATGTAGTGTTGCTGTGATAGTTGCAGTTGTTACTTGTTGCGAGGTATTAGGGGTTGGCTTGTTTTCTTCGCAATCATCATCGAGCCTATCGTTCAATGCTAGGGGTTCCATTATATCTAACAAGCAGTATGGTAAATGTAAATCCTGATATGTCTATCTTATGATCAGTATGAAGTGGTCTTAATTCTTAATCCATACCTACGTTGAGAAACTAGATACGCCTACTAACTTTCTATTTTCTCTTCACGATACCTCTTGAATATGAAAGTCCTGCGGACGGGAAATTCTAGACGGAGAGCCTAAAGTAGAATATCCATAGCTCTTCCAAGTTACCCTGGCGAATCCATTTTGCCAAGGAGATAGCTGAGTAGGTACTTTGCATATGGTTCTGTGTTAGTGTCCAGTTACGTATCTGGATTAACATGTGTACGAGGATCCTAGGGAGACGGAGCAACCCATGATGCTAACGAGATACCTAAAATTGAGCTACATCCTTATTTTGCCGCTGGAAAGCCTTTAATCAATTAAATACAACTCTGGGGCGGCCTCTTAATATATCAGTTTAGCTCATCTACCAATAGCATGACCCAGCTTAGCTAATGGGCGACTTTCATAATCTATGTCCCACCCCGATGAATCCCATCTCGCCAATGCTGCGTAAAGCCGCAAGCTTGATGCTAGGGTTTCCGGAGTTTGTATCTAAGCCTTTCCGCGATCTCCATTAGGTAGGTTTTGACCTGTGTTACTCAAGAGGTAGATTATCCGATATGACTGCTATTCGTTTCTCTGTAATGACCTGGATTGTGTTATGTTACCTATTTACACCCGGTATCTTAGGAAAAGATCTTCATAGCGATATTATAATCATTTCATTGATAGTTCTAACTATATGAATAAGAACATTTGCGCTGTTATGCTGTATATCACATTTCTAACCGCACAGATGTAGCTACCGAGCAAAGTGACTTGTAACCCAACACAAAGCTCTATTACACATATCACATGTCTTATATAAGAACGGTCCAGCCATCCAGATATCTTACACGTCACTCTCCTATTCGGATGTATCCCCATAATCATACGAACCATTGTTATTTCTCGTCGGGATCTGCCGACGGCTTTTACAAACTTGAGAACTCAACATCTCTATGGCTCATTCCGCACCAACGGCAAAACAACCTTCAGTTTATGAAATGTGTGTAGCTAATATAGGTAGGAAATCGATGTTATTAGTTAATACCTCCGCAGAAAATGTAAGACCGACGGCGGCGCTTTCGAAGAGAGTAACATCCATGGACATTCGGACTATTATTAATTCCCATTTCTCGGCGGAAGATGTTATCACGTGGATCCAAGAGCAATGATCTATGAGGACTGTGGCTTAACAAATGAATGATAGCATATATAATTTATGTCCGAGTAGCTTTTGATATGTGGAACTCTAGGTAATGGAATAGGACTCAGTGAGAAAGATCTTTATTCGACAAAATTACATTGCGAGAATTCTCGTGTGGTATAACATCCCGTTTCCATGGTAGTAAGGATTGGTTCCGGAGTTATTTATTTATTTCTCGCGCTGGATGAATCGAATGATGTCAGAACGGGTGATAGATGATGTTGTGACGTATAGTATATAAGAGTGTTCAACGATACGTAGGTACCTATTGAGATGCGAAAGGAATCTAGGATATAAAGCGTTTTAGTATACATATATCGACTTGACTTTGAAATAACTAAATTCACCATGCAGTCTGGACCTATTCTACCTCAATCAGCCCTAGGGCTGGGAAACACTCACGCCATAAACGATACGACAAGCCGCTTCCAAGACGTCATCGGCCAGTTCCCCCAGCTCAAGACATATAGCCATGCCTTAGCTATTTTCCCCTTAAGCACGGAGGTATCTCGGGATTCCGTTGTTGCTGCGCTGAAGGATGCAATAAACCAAATTATTTCCAAGATTCCCTGGCTTGGTGAACAGGTGGTTCACGAAGGGCAAGGAGGCGGTAATTCGGGTATAATCAGAACACGACCATTGCCCTCGGGCATTTCTAGTGGCGATATCCTGTACGTGAGGGACTGTACAAATCTCTGCCCTTCATACGAGGATATAGTGCGTCGAGGAGGCCCCCTCTCTTCACTCGATGGCAATATCCTATGCCCTTTCCCTGGCTTTCCCATGGGATATGATGTCAAGAAGATGGGGTTTGCACCTGTAATAGCAGTCCAAGCAAGCTTCATTAAGGGTGGCGTGATCCTTAACATCTCCAACCAGCACAATATGGTAGATACGACCGGGGTCTTCGTCTTCAATTCTTTACTTGCGATCGCAATGCAGGGCAAAGACATCCCACAGGCTTACGTTGACCAGGCCAACATAGACCGAACCAAGGTCATCCCTCTTCTTGATCCCGGACAACCCATTCGTGACCATAGTTACCTTTTAAAGTCAGCGTTTACGCCTACGCCTGCGCCGCCATTAAAACTTCCCGCTTCACCTCTGAAATGGGCGTGCTTCAGGGTTTTCCAGAAGGCCATGCCCAAGATCAAGGCAGCCGCATCGATCAAAGATGAATTCGATAGTTCGGTGACCTACATATCCAGCAACGACGCGCTGTGTGCATTCTACTGGAAGCGACTGGCCGCGGTGCGCGTCGCTAACGGCAGTGTGGATCCTTCATCTGTGTCCAAATTCGCTCGAGCTATCGACGTCCGCGCCGCCGTCGGATGTCCACCGGGATACATGGGGCAGATGATCCATCACGCTATCACGCGATTCTCATATCGAGACTTGGCGTCGCCGGGCTTGACATTGTCGGCTATAGCGTCACGCCTAAGAGCTGAACTCAACCAATCGAATAACGAATGGGCGGTGCGCAGTTATGTTACCTTTGTGGCTGGTGTTGCTGATAAGGGAGACCTGGTATACGGCGGTGGTCTCAACCAGGCTCTCGATGTTGGGTCCTCGTCTGTTTCCCAGTTGTCAACCGGACCAGTCGATTTTGGCATTCTGGGCAAGCCCACGTTGATTCGGCGACCCAATCTGGCTCCTTTTGGCGGCGTAATGTATGTCTTGCCACCCGAAGATGAGTCCCAATACTTGCCTGTTATAGTATGCTTGAGCGAGAGGGACTTAGAAGACCTGAGGCGGGATAAGGAATGGGGGGCAGCCACTCAGTACGTTGGTTAGCTGAGCAAGCACGGTACGAAGCAATACCTAGCACAGCTTCCTTGAGTACAATATATCCATTTAATGTCAACTACATCATATATATGATCTAAAACCCCGTCTCGGTTTTGCTTGCTCTTGTTATTATTTGCTGCTTGCACTTCTCCTCATCGTCTTTGCCTTTAGAGAACATACTATGGGCCATTTCCCCACTGCTACCTAGGTACTCACTAAAAACATCATCAATCTGAGTCGGGTACCTGGCCACGCCATCAAGATCGAGTTGTACACCAGGTAAACATGTTATATTAGCGAACTCCCGTATTAACCAATGCGTTTAGATCGAATTTGAGGCGTTATTAAAGGAAGCGGATCCTAGGTGTGAGATCTGTACCATCTTTGATAACGGAAATCTAGGCCTTTTTTGAGTTACACATGAAGCGAGCTGAGGTGTAGATTGCATATAATAGTCATCATATGACAGGGTATAGAATAAACTCGGGCATAGGGGTTAGGAGATAAGCATGTGTGTAACCACACTGCTTACCTCCTAGTATACAGAGCATCACGGATCTTGGGCTGAGTAAACTTCGAATTGCCTAGTCGCATGTTGGTAACAGTACGTTTGGGCATGATACTTTATCAATAAATCGATGGAGGCATTTTGACAAGGATATAATTCCACAACGTCGTTTTCTTTTAACAATGGTGGCCTCGGGACGTGAAATAAACAATTACATAAAGTTACCAAATAGACGATTTCCCGCTGGTAGTTCAAGTAATATCCATCAATCGCTGATGTCCAACCCTTGACTAACTGTTTGATCGTTACATCAATGGGATTTAACGGACCTTGCAGTATTACGAGGCCAGGGGTATCCTAACTAATATTTCAAAGTCACTACGTTCTCTTTTAACGGCCTCCCAAACCAAAGGAAGTTATCGACGAGGAATTTCACAGCATCGATCCCAGTTGTTCATTCCTTTGCTTTGATCCTTCTCACCTTTACCCAGTTTAGCTTAACCTAGCTTTAAATCGAACGTCTTTTTCATTAGCTAGGTATTCCTTAGCATGCCTCCCGTTGCCGTTTTATCTGATACTCTGCTCTCCTAAAGCCGGTACTACTTCCTTTATCAACCGTTACGTATCTAGTTAGTATACTGACTTTGAGAACCTGAACGTACTAGAAGTTTTGCCACCGTATGTTGATATTAGTTTGAACGTCACACCGGGACCAGACCGATACTCTTCAAGGGGGCAAGAAAAAGGCTATATAATACCTGTACCACTAGTTAAATATGCCAATTACTTTTTCATAGGCAGCCCTAAAAAAACAGGGACAGCCTGTTCTTCTAAAGGCGAAATCAACGATGGCGTTAGTGCGTCAAGTGTATCCGATCATGTAATGGTAGTAACCACTACTGTAGAAGATTCTCGGCTTATTAAAATTATTAATTTGAAGCTAGGCGAATATCTTATTAGGTCTTGCCGCCCCAACAAAGCTCATATCGCCCGTCAGCAGACTCTCGCTGTAGTTTTTACGCATAAGCCAACGTTCAGGACTAAAGAGCATTGGATTTAGCGCCGTGTGAGGTTTCGCTGCGGCTTAGGCTATCAACGGGAATAGACGGGAATAGGAAGCCTAGGCACTTTAATGAAAAAAGACTAACTTAGTTTGAACTCGAGGCAAGTCATTGAATCGTGGATAAGTTGTCGATTAGACTTAAACTTGTCGCCCGTCATATAAACACCATGAAAAGCAACCATGCGAGCCATCCTACCCGAGAATAAGGGTGACTTAGGCATCAAACTCTTTACAACGCATTAGAATATGATTATACTCACGAAAGTCAGCAATAAGAATCCAGGGCTTAGAGAAGGGCCGAATGAAGGTCTGACAGATGGGTGAGTTCACCTTTACCACCTACTTAGCATACCAAA